AGAGAGAGAGAGGTGGTGAGCCTATGTGTTTGATGTCGGTGTACACGGGCGCTCATTCGCGTCGTGGCTCATTGAGACGTGGAAAAAGGGACGCAGAAGTTAGATATCGGAAAGCTGTAACGCGGGAAGTACTGGGACACGCGCCAACACCACTGTAACCTCCACCAACTTCCGCGCTCGAAATAACTGGCGACGGGGCGAGACAACGGAGCACGAATAATCTCGGGTAACGATGCGAAGATCTGGTTCCACTCGAATGTCGCTTAACCGTGACACTCAAAGCAATGCATAACTGTAAATCTCGTTCACGAACAAATCGTCGAATCATTGACTGATGAAGAATTAAAGAATCATCCAAGTATCAATGGAACTTCCAAGAGACACGAGGAAGGTAAATTGTAACATTCTTTCATGAATGTAAACAACTTTACCGTTGATGCAGTTTATCCTTTAATTTTTTACATACCTTTACGTGCCGCAATATTGCGCTTCGTATAATTTATATGTTTAATTCGTTGGCATATTACGTCGTGTATAATATATGATATTAATTGAACTATTATATTATAATGTATGATAATAGTTTGCATCCCTTTATATAGGATTAGAACAATACTGTTCGCATTTTAGGGATTTGCGGGAAACGCGTGTTACAATACGTGCGATATAATATGGCTCGTAACCAAAAACAAGTCGAATTAATCATCCTCGTGGACACTACCGCAGATGACTGCGGGAAAGTAGTGGGATTTCCTTCCTTCGAACGAAATCATACACGTACGTATTGACTAGAGTCGCAAAATACATAACACACCGAGCTCCCACGTTCAGTGTAAATGTTAGGTAGGAATCAATATCGCGCACCCTTGCCGAGCAACCTGAAGGGCTGGTCTGGTCCCCTTCGTGCGCCAGTCAAAGACCCCCTCACCTACCCTCTTGTCCCGTCTCGTCCCTCCGTCTCCATTCCGTCCCGTTCTCCATTACATTCTGTCCCGTTACCGGGCACACACTCTCGTACGTAATCCCGCTCGCGTGCACGTACGTGCATGGGGAATAGGAGAACGATCACGTGTATATGTACATGCGGGCGGCGGAGGGACGGTTTGGTTGGAATTCTCACGATTTCAAGCATGGCGAGGCCATGCTCGATAAGGCTACACCGTGAGGTAATAAATATCCGGTGCTAAAGCAGTGGCCCCGATGCGCGTTTCGGGGGGTTCAACCGGAGAGCGATCTCGAGACCGCATTTACCCCCGAGTCGGTTTCAAAACGAAGAGGTCCACCCCGTTGCCGCCCGATAAGATCCGCGACAAATGGCGCCTGGGGTGGTCTTTTTCTCTTCGGGAGAACGAGAGAGTGGTGAAATTATGTGGCGTACGCGCGCGGTAACCGGTCTCCGCAAATATCGCGACTCGCGACGGGAAATGATCGATCATCAGCGATATCCGCGATCCCGCGCTTAAAACGTTTCCTACGGGGAATATCATTTACGGTTGACCTAACGCGCGCGATTCTCGATAATGAGGATATATTCACTGTTCACAAGCGCACATGTTAAATATACAATATTAATTAATTTAAATGATATTACAATCGATTATAAAGCACGCTAATTATGGTAGCTATGATTAATATTATTATATAAACAGATAAAATTATCTATTTCCGTGTCACAAGATCAAGCCGTAATAATTACAAGCTATGATATATATATTGTGACAACGAACTATCATTTCGATAATTCTGTTTTTATCGCAACAAAGATATCACGTTCATGCGAATTTATCTGTCGTTATTACGTCGATTGACCTCACGTCAAAGGGAGAAAGCGGATGCGCTTGCCTAGGCTGCTTGAGTTCGTGAAACGGGGGAGGGGGCGGGGGGGGCGACCTGAGTCGCGGGGGATAGAATGACGCACAAAGGTCCAGAGTTTGCCGGTGGTTTGCAGGTTGACCGTAGATTCGATGTCGGGATAATCCGCTGGCGCTCGATTAAAAGCCGCGCAGCAGGACGGAACGTGGCGGAAGTACAGAGAGGAGAGCCCGAGCAAAAGGCGAGAGAGACGGAGAATAATGCCTTAAGCCGAGTTAAGCCGCGGCTTAAACGACGGCCACGACACCGCAAGCGTCTCTCTACCTCTCGCTTAGCCTCCAGCAAGACTAACGAAATCGTTCATGACATCGCGAACTTGTCTCAATCGGTGCGATTAGTTCAAAACCAGATCTAAATCGCTTCGTCCGTTTTCGACTGAATCCTCGATTTTATTTAGCTATCTTAATTTTGTGTGTGTGTGTGTGTGTGTTTGCGAGTTTTGGATCAGAAAGGAAATATAATGCTTTCTACAATAAGCCATTACCTACAAATTTAAATCTTAAGAAATTGACCAATCCCAGTCGAATGTGATAAGAAAAATCGACTACGATTAATTTTCTTATGACTCAAGACTTAAACTTTGATAATTAATCTATTGTATATTACTCCATTTTTTAATAGACCAAATAATACGCACGCAC